GCCCCATCCCTCTGCATCCCGGGATTTGGGGTCCTGCTGGAAAAGGGGGGGTCCCCGGCGGGGGACGCGCTTGGATTATTCTGGAAGGGAACCGGTGGCTTCATCCCGAGCTGGGGGGGATCCCCAGGGATGGGGGGGATCCCCAAGCCGGGGCCGCCCGTCTCCCTCAGGATGCTCCCCCCAAAGCGGCCGCTGCCATCGCGCTCCTTTTCCCTTCTGCTCTTCCTCCTCCTCCTCTTCCTCCACGCCTTCATCTCTGCGTCCCCCTCCCCGCTGACCGCCGAGCATCCCCCCCATTCCGGGCAGGGATTTTCCTCCTTTAATTCCCGGCTCCGTGGCCTCCGGCCCTCGCTGCGGCGGCGGGGGCCGTAAATACTCGGGGAAGTTTTCCCTGGCGCTCCCAAAAGCGCCTTTTCCAACCCCAACCCAGGCTCCGCTGGCGGCCGGGGCTTTGCTGGGGGTCGCCCCCCGAGCGGGGGCTGCGAGGGGTGCTGGGGTCTCCTCCCGGCTGCAGATCCCTCGGGAATGGCAAACGCTGCCCGGCCGGAGCCCCGGGCTGGGACGGGGACGGGGACAGACCCCAGCCGGGTCCCGGTGGCCCCGCGGCACAAAGCCCTCGCCGGGATATTTCCACCCGGATCCCATCGCTCCGGAGGGGGAAAAAGCCGCTCCGCGAGTGGCTTTGTCGCCTGGCCCACGGACCCAACCCCCCGGGCGGTTTAATTGCTGTTTCGCCCAGACGCTGGTAATGAGGCTATTAAATTAATTACAGCGGCGTTCCCGTTGGGAAGGGAGACGCCGTCCCCCTGCCCCGGGAGGGCGCGGGCCGGGGGCGGCATCGCTCCCCGCTTCCCTCCGGATCCGGCCCCGGAGCGGGGGCTTGGCCGCAGCCACCTGGGGCAGGATGCGGCCGCGGCAGAGCCGGCGATGCCGACGGGCCGGGACCTCTCCTGGGGCCGCGTCTCGGTCCGGTGCTGCAGTGGGGCCAGTGCAGCGGGGCGATGCAACAGGGTGCTGCAATGGGGCCGTGCAATGGGGCCGTGCAACGGGGCCGTGCATTGGAGCTGTGCATTGGAGCTGTGCATTGGAGCCGTGCAACGGGGCTGTGCAATGGGGCTGTGCAATGGGGCCGTGCACTGGAGCCTTGCATTGGAGCCTTGCAACGGGGCCGTGCAACGGGGCCGTGCAACGGGGCAGCCCACCAGGCCTGGCCCAGCTCTTCTCCTGCACCTCTGCACCCATCCAGCACCGCCGGCGGCGCTGGCCCGGGGCG